TGTAGAAGATGAGCAAGGCAATGATCCTGAGAATCTCCAGAAGATTTTTTAATCTAGCAATTAATCGGAAAGATTCTCACCCTAATTATATATACTGATACCTATGAAATAAGCAACTGCACTGAAGATGGTAATCTGTAATAGTAGTTTCATGCTTGGAGTGCCTGTCATTCTGGTCTTCTGAATACGGGCTGCTTGTCATGACATGCCAGTTGCTGCTGTGCTGTCTCTTGGGTAGATGACTGTTTAAAAAAAAGGGAGTGGTGAATTAAAGCAAGAGACAGGAAAAGGCATATTGTGGGACTGTCCTGCTTCAAGGTTGTATATGGTTAGATTTTTGAATTTATGTGTAAACATAAGAAGTATATAATTCTTTATGCCTATTTTTAAAAATATATTCTAATTTTTAAATGTTTTTTCATCATATTCTGTAGGGACTTAAAAGTTCAACATATCAATACTTGATGAAAAATACCTGTTCCATGTTATGCCTAAGATGTTTGGTATTCAGATAGATAGTAAGGTTAAGCTTAACAGCCTAGGTTGTATGGTAGTGTCCCAAGTTTTCTGATCAAGGAGATTATGGGGCCAAAGAGGAAAGTGATCGATGATATAGACTGTGCCTAAGGAGACTCACATGGAGAGAAAACATTTTCTCAGGCTTTCACAGAGAGCACATTGCCCAAGCAATGGCTGTGACTCATCCACATAGCTGACACTGACAAAGGATCTACAATCTGAGGTACAGGATCTCAGTATAAATCCTGAGGGGATTTCACTGACCTTATCAGACCCAAAAGCTACAACTCTTGTTGCATAGGTCCTGCTTTACCTTGGTCTTAACCATCCAGCAGAAAAGATAAAAACGAAGTATAAGAAGTAAAGCCATGCTGTTATGTTGAGCTGTAGGGAACCCAGGTCAACAATTTCTTTCCTTTCCTTTTTTTTTTTTTTTTTGTGGCAGAACCAGAGATTGAACTCAGGCCCTTGCACTTGCCAGGCAAGTGCTTATTCTACTGAGCCATCTCCCTGGCCCCAGGTGAACAATTTCTGACACTGCCAGTGAAGTGGAAGACCCAATACTATTATGGGCTACTGAACTCTTTTAGAATATTCTGCTGAGTTTACACACCTATAATATTCAAATAACGGAACTTAACAAAAAAAGGGTATAGAGATGAATGTCCATTTTGTATCTGTGTATTCAAAGTGGCTAGGATACATATATCGTTACATTCTTCTAATGAATAGAGGGATTTGTTCTAATGGTGTTTGTAAATAGGATATCATGTCCGTATCTTGTACAGCAATTAATCACTTGGAAGAATGTAGGCAATGTGTTAATTACTGAAACTGTCCTAGCGTTTTGATTTGAAACTGTCTCATTGCTATTTGTTTCTCAATAAAATTATGGAATAAAAAAAGATTATTGTGTTATAAATTTTCAAGAAAACTCAACAGACTTATTGCTTTTCTTCCCCTTCCTTCTTTCCTTCCTTCCAACCTACCTAGGTACCTACTAGGGATTGAAGTCAGGAGCTCATGCTTGCTAGGCAGGTGCTTATGCTGTTGAACTATCACCCCAGACCAAGAAAACTGAATAGAAAATGTACCACATAAAGGTGTTTGGACTGGCATGACAGTGTCACGAGATTTCACCACTGATAGCGTCTTGGAGTCTTAGCTTGTGCTCGGTGCACTTCACGATGCTTGTGCAACACGGAAGTCACCTAACGAGGCATTTCTCAGAACACGCACTTGTTATTAAGGGACATGTGACTGCACAAAAACCTGCTACTAACATTGTTTCCTTTTACTTTGTCTTAAACTGAATCTGTGCTTTTCTGCATAAGATGTTTCTTTGAGGATTTAAAGTACAAAATCCTCTGGTCATAAAAATATATGTTTGCAAGAGAGAAAACTAAGCACAGTATAAAACAAAAAAATTCAGCCAGGGTGGTGGTGCACACCTGTAACCCCAGCACTCACAAGGCTCAGGCAGAGGACCAGGGAGATGGCTCAGTGGAATAAGCACTTCCCTGGCAAGCACAAGGGCCTGAGCTCAATCCCTGGTTCTGCCAAAAAAAAAAAAAAAAA